CTCAATAATACAGTCATGCCGAGGTTCATAGAAAGCCGTACTTGGAAGCCAATACTTTCCGCTTTTTTTAGAGGCGTCAGCGCTCCTTCGATTTCCAAGCTCTTTCATCATAAGTGGGATCACATTTTTTCCGAATATTTTTCCATGCCATCTAAATCTTCCATATAGACTTTAGAATGCATTCGTCCAACACAGGTACATCGGAAATGCTCGGAGTACTGCCCACTGTCATCCTCCTACATCATCATAGCAGTGCCCTGTGGGGATTGGAAAGTCACTAGAAATAAGGAGGCAACAGGAGAACGCCCCACTCGCGGGAAGCTGGCACCGCTAAATAAGAATTCCATAGCTCATTCCATTAGCCAAATACGTTACAACTCCGCAGAAAGCTCAGGCACATGATGCATTTCAATAACTGATTAGCGCCGCCTTTCCCTTGTATTCCTAAAGACAATGGAGGTAAGATGCTCGTATTGGAAATGGAATACTATCAACTCTAACCTGTATATACCGTGCAAGACGCCGTGCATACGCCATTCGATGATTATTTGTGAAGCAGTTTGAAACGATCCAACAGACCATACGTGCTTTTCCTTAAGCAAGAGCAGCTATCAGAAGTAGTTTTGTTACTGATCAGGGATTCATGTAGAACCCAGAACATGGTAAGCCTTCAGTTAAAAAGGGTCAGACTTGATCAAGTTTGTCATAGCACTTGCCACATGCATATTATTTCAGCTTGACAATTTTTATAACTTCGGCAGTACAACCTCCATACGGCAAAAGGCGTTGAAATAGCTCGGGTGGTTTTGGATTATAATCGATCACTTCCTTGCGTTCAGGATGGGAGTGGAAACGCGACGAGCGGAGTACGAGTAAGACTGCATATTACTGGGTGCGCTTCGTTGCGCGTGTCCGTCGAAACTAGGTCACGCCGCAGCCGTCGCACGCGGCGAGTCGGCCCGCGATATTTGACAGGCGTCGCAATTGTCACTGGGGTATACGCTTTGCGTTTGGTCCACGGCAGTCAGAAGAAGATAACACAGACAAATGCAATTTATTTGCTCCAATGACACTTGGTGGACTGTAATGTCATCTCGAGAACTCAGTGTGGTGCCGCGTGCGAAGTGGGCGGGGTGACCTACTTTCGACGGACACGCGCAACGGACGTTCTCCCATATTACTAGTGACCTCCATCATTCAATTGCTTCCTCGGCTTTTGATTTCAACCAGCTTTTGGTAAAACTTCAGCTCGGAGACCACCGAAAAAAAACGAAAATTAGTAGAAACTCTCAGAGAAAATAGCTTTTGAAGCTACATCCACGATCCTTTGCTGAAGATTTTCTCTCGCGGAAGGATCTGTAGATGGTCGGTACTGGGCGATAAACAGGAAATATTACCGTGCCACGCCAACGAACTGTAAGGACGCTAATACTTGAAGGGCCTGAGTCTAGGCCCGCAGCCCCAGCCTGAGTTGCATGAACCACTGACGTATCGATCGATATCGACACCGCATCCCTCGCGTAATATAGTAGAGTGTGTTGCCATTAGACATATTCCGTCGAAACCACTTTGTTTTACCAACAGTGCAAGTGTAAAACCTTAGATCCGAGCTAGGTTTCCACTCCTCGCGTCGCAGAATGAAAGAACCGAAATCCAGTATGCGCCAGCGTAAAAGGCATGGTACTTCGTTCCACAGCTGACGCTCATTAATTCACTTTCAAATGGTTATGGGCGCGCATAGGGGAGCGCGTTATCGCGCCATTGAACACACGATTTTCACTGTACAACTGTGCTCCCAAACATTCGTCTGAAACAAGACATAATTACATTTTAGAAGAATAACCTTCTGCGAAATTTAGTTTTGCAGACGATGTATGTGGTACAACGAATGACTCATATTGACCATAAGCAACTGGTAAGTCACTGTCTAGGCGATAGCTGATTGTTGCGTTAACCTGAATACCGTCTAGAGATACGTAACACTTGGGAAAAAGTATAGTGTACGCAATATGGATCTCACCTTTCCATCGTAAACCGTCAGTGAATTAGTGTTGGCGGGGCTTTCAAGTAGCCGAATGATCCAAAACTGACTGGATAGGCGAGGTGAAGGTGGTTCCCATGCTGAATTCTCTCCGAAAACGACGACATCAGCTGTGTATTTGTGCCCTTCTTAAAGACATCGCTTTTTTAGAAATGAAAAAGATGAACATATTTAGTGGAAAGAAATGGTGAGTACGACTATACGTGAACTGATCAATATGTATGAAGCTTCGGTCTCGCTTTGAGGACCGTGATGTGAGCAGACTGCACTGGACTAGCCCAACTGCTCGATCCGTTCTGTAAGTCTGATCCCCTTTTTATCTGATCAGAAAACTTCTCTTATTAGTACCTGAGGGCATGTGAGAGTACTACTAACTTCCCATGCGAATCCGATCCCCTTGCGGCTGCGTTTTAAAGGGGTGTGTTTCGTTCCGCGAGTCCGTCGAATCGCCGCAGCCGTCGCACGCATCCCACGAGTTTTGACAGACGTCGCAGTTGCATGCTCCACAGCAGTCAGCTTGAAGAGAAGATAACACGGACAGATGCAAATCGTTTGCTTCACCGACACTTAGCTGTACTGTAATGTCATCTCGAGATTGCAGTGGGCTGCGCCGCGCGCGAAGTGGGTGGGGTGGCCTGGTTTTGACGAACGCGCGGAAGGACGCTCCCTTTTATTATAGGACTTTCCAAAGCAATGATTGCAGAGCATTGCACTGACAATGAAACGATATGTGAAGCTATGTAGTAGAGTAAAACAAACAGAAAAGTAATATTAAGTTGTAGCAGCGACCGCGCCCGCGAATAGCGCAGTCGTACTTTTGGAGAAATCCATCACGACACTTGTCCACACGAGCGATTTATGATTGCATACCTATCGTAGTTAGTAAGCAGTTTCTTATTTGACATCCTTTTTTGTGAAAAATGATTGATCCATGTTGAGTGTGCGAGTCATCAGGCTGATAAATTAACACTGGACTGTTTCGTACCTGAAGTAGAGATTCAAATATTCATTCAATTATGAACTTGTTTACATTCCGTACCTTGGCCTGGCGTACATATTTAATTCGACGTTTTTTATTTTGAAAATAGGTGAAACTAGTCTTTCAGAAAAAGGGTTGGTTCAAACACACAATCCAGATTAATTTATGGCTCCCGACAACCTCATAAGAACGTGCTAAGGGAGCAGAATGGTTGACTATGTGGCCAGGGGACAGCTACGCCTTACGGACAGCGTCGAAGCCCTAGGAAAGCTGGAATGCGCACCTCAAAGAGGAGCTGACAAACATTTTTATTATTCAGCACGCGTTTATGTGAACGATTCTTCCTTTGTGCTGCATTCCCATTCTAACTTGCTCTCGACCGAAGACGAATCGCATTAGTGTTGACAGTTAACGGGAAAGTAGATAGAGATGTATGAATTTATTCATACTGACGCGGCGTGGATTTCATGGCTTCAATCTTACAGGAATGATGATGAGAACCTTTCATGCCCCGTTCCTCGCAACATAATATACCCGACACTATTTCACCCGAAGTTCCACTTCTTTTCCTTTTCTGGAAATCATGCAATCAACCGTGCTTCAGAGTCATGGTTTCTCTGAAGAGCGCAGCTATCAAGAACATTCACAAGCAAAATTTCGACTAGATTCAGCTGTAGGAAATGGCGCACCAGAGATTTGACAGAATGAAAATCAGTCAACGAAATGTTTGATGAACTGAAAAAAGCTGATTCGCTCTCAACTCAACTCTATAACGGGCAACAATTGGATGAGCCGCATCACTGCAGGAGATACTAGACTGCGGTGACGCGAGCACCGTCTCACAGTCTTTGAGATATGAGGGGACCCACCCATCCACTAAGACTTGCTAAGCGCTGATGAGATAGTCACAGCTGTCGCTAGTCCCTGCGAACGTCAGCATTTGGCAAAAGCGGTGAGAGAAAGTCGTCCAAAACCTGAGCTCTTGTACGTACAGAACGACAACGCACGACGGAATCTAGCTTTAGTCTCGAAATTTCGCCACCCCTGGACTAAGGGTACACTTATTTACACAAGTGTGAAGGAAGGCTGTTAATCCCCTTGGTGGGAGCGTTACTTGGCAGAGAAATAAGGTTTTTCTGGATTAGTGTAAGCCTAAGAAGGCAAGGAGCATCGGGGTGGGTTAACTATTTGAATGTCCAATTTGAATCCCTACTTTTTGCAAATCCACCCCGGCGCTTCTTCCCTTTTAAGACCTATATAAACACTGAATTCCTTCAATTAATTGTAAGAGCCGACTCTAAGCACAAGTAAAACCAGCTACCCCCTTCTGTGCGCTACATGTAGCACTCACTGTTGGAGAAAAGCGGTGGGACCCTATCCCCTCCCACCAAGCAAAGAAAATGAATGGAATAGGTTTTAACGACCTCTAGGGGATGTCGAAATGGGGTATGGTGCAGTAGGAACGAAATTGCAGCGTGGCGGCGAGAGGAACGCCGTGCGCGAAGGAATGTAGCAGGATGCGGCAGTTGATGAGAAGTACAGAAACAAAAGAACTAACAGTAGAATCATGTCTAAAATAACGATCGCATATCGTCTGAGCTGAATGAAGAACACTAGAGCTGTAATAACGGCGAACGAATGGTTCGCGACAGCCGCGTACGGCGAATCGATTACACGGAACCGTACCTGCTGCCCATCTCTCCATTTCGCCTAGTTAGCAGTTAATAAATGCGGTGAAAATAGAATAAACGGTTGTAAAGCAAATCAACATCTATGGGCGGTTTCATTTATGGGATGACTGAATTAGTAAAGTAGCGCTATGATTTCATTGCTGGAATATCAATAAGACACAAAAAACAATATAAGCAGTATTTCCTTGTCTAAGCCGACATGTTTTAAAACTTTCTTCAGCATTTCAGCTGTTGTCTACCTTTATTATGCTTCCTGTCTCATATGGCATTTGTTCACTATGAACAATTTTCACGATTTCACAGAAAAATGCATGAACTTCTGGAATGTAAACAAATCATAAAAACGACCAGAAATGTAAATATGAATAATTTAAAACAAACCGTATTACCTTGGGAAACAAATTACTCCTATTAGGCTTTGATCCTTTCCTCGACAGCCAAGTAATGCAATAGCGGCACAGGAAGAAGACAAGAATAGCGAGGAGACATAAGGGGACCGCTTTCTTGCCACAACGATAACGAAACATATCACATTCTGCAAAAGAGCTGAGTTCAAAAGAAAGCTAAAATCATTAAGCTACAGTAATCGCTCGGAAGGTGCAGAAGACGGAATGCATTCAAAAGAAAAGAGCTCTTTTGGAATTTGAGGGATGTTTAATGCAGGATCTTTGTTAGTGCTTTCCGAGCTATCTTAACTCTCTGTTGCCATTCCATTAAGGGTGATATCAAGTCAGTCACCTGTGATCTATACTTCTTAGCTGTAGCGACAGGCGTGTTGCTGCTGGCAGCGTGTCGACCGCACAATAGCGGCGTTTTTCTGGCGTTCTAGAGCGCAGACAACAGAGTGCATACACCACAACAGCTTTTGAATTGGGCGCGCCCAGTGAGCAGTAAGTAATGACAGCTCCATGACAAAATCATAAAGTTCAAAACGGTTTTGAATTTAGATCACGATTCGAAATATATAGTTTGCCGTACATCGAGCTGACTGAAGTAAATCTTTTCTTAGCGAACGCTGGGCTTTACAGCCAGATTCTCATAACCGCAGACAGCACGCGACAGTGGTCTCGCTGGGAAAGCCCGTTGCGCGCGTTCGTCGAAAATAGGTCAACCCGCAGACTTCGCGCGCGGCGCATCCCACTGAGGTCTCGAGGTGACATTGCAGTACCACAAAGTGTCGTCACACGTCACACGCAGCTCGTCGAAATACCCATTCATACCCCCGGGGGGACGGTACGAACGTGCGTCCGAGAGTGCGCGCGGCAAATTGCGCGGCGAAGTTCGTGACGATTTGTGCGACTGCGGCGCCAATTTTCGGGGCACAAACTCGAAGCAGTGTAGTTTAGTAGGGTCAGATGATCTTCCTGATCCACTTTATTTCAAATTTGGGCCCCAATGATAGGCGTCAAAGTCGTTCAAATTCTTACAAACTTCGCCGCGCAATTTGCCGCGCGTATCCTCGGACGCACGTTCGTACACATACCCCATACCCCCGTGGCTTTTATGGCCAAATTTTCCTCCAACCCCTGTTTTCACTATGATTGCCTTGTGAATCTTCTGCCGACGAGAATGTCAGGTGGAAACTTTATTAGTGGACTGACGTTTTGACGCGATCGTCTTTTTCAATGGTCTGAATGTGGCCCAAGGTTCAAAAGATGTCCTCTAAATCGCGAAACGCCTCCTCTCTTTAGGGTTTCTGATGGGATGTTAGGGACATGTAATGGAGAAACACCAACGAGGAGAATAAACTCACCCAGTCTGCCACCGCAAGAGCGGAACAGCGCCACTCCAAGTCATTTATGGTTAGTAACTGAGAATTAGTGGTTAAGACCCTAGCAGTACGCGTTAAGAAACGTTAGGGAACAGAAACATGCTTTTGCGGTAGTGGACTGGGTGAGTTTATTCCCCCGATGGTGTTTCTCGGTTGGTTTTCCCTAACGATCCATCAGAAACGCTAGGGAGAAGAGGTGTTCGGCGGTTTAAGGACATCTCTTGAACCTTGGGCCATGTTTAGACCTTTGAAAAGACGATCGCGTCGAAACATCAGGCCCCTAGCAAAGTTTCCACCTAACAACCTCGTCGGCAGAAGAATTACAACACAATACTGAATGATATACAAATGCCGAGGTTATATGAAGGTGGAAGTTGGAATTTCCTATTTTTACTATCATACTCCTTGAGATCTTATATTTCCCTAATTAGGCCGATTTTTGCACTTTCTTTGTTGCTTTTGCACTATAGTGGACTTTCACATTCATTACCGGTCTTAAACCAGACAACCCAAAAATAGTGATCATCTATTTAACTCTTCAAAAGGCTCACTTTAATGATTCGTCACTCTTCTAGCCAACAAGCCTGAACTTTAACTGCAATGGCGTACATAGGAATTTTTAAAAATAAAATGGCGTAAACCAAAATGAAAAACTCGAAACACTTCGACACTTCAAGGAGAAGGCAAATGGCAGATGGGGTGGAATAGAGGGAATGGCCGGCAATTGTACTAATCACTCAGAACCTAACGAGATTAGTCGACATAAACAATTATGGGTCCAAATGAGGTCCACCCTTAATTTCGCAGGCAGTCAACTAACGGTCGCGAACTGATTCGATCAAGCTATCCACCCTGCTTGAGGCTTTCAGCGAGTCAGACTCCTTCCTTGATTCCTTCGTCACTGATCAAATCAAATGATAACTGCTTCAACATGAAATAAGAAATGTAACTAGTAACATTAGAGGTACTATTATATTACTGGTTCCAAGAAACTCAGAATAAAATTGTTCACTGGAAATGACAGCCGTTAACATGATAAGGCTATGAAATGTTCCAGGACCTGTACCTCAAAAAGAGCGTAGAAGTAATCCACTCCTGACTGATCGTGGCTTGCATGACAAGTGAGTGTGTCTTCACTTGCAGTGGTGGGAACCTACACAGGAGACGGGAGGGATTTGTGAGCAGAGGATATCAGCTTGCTGTAGTCAACACAACTTCTTTTAATACATTCACGACCTCGTGGCCCGCCGGCGGGCGCCCCTAGAGTATTTATATTATTTACAAGCGTTCTTCTGTGTATAGAACCACACTCAGGGGTCATAAGTGGGTTCACGGCATGAAGGGAATCTCTGAAATATCAAGTAACAACTCATGTGCTTCATAATGAAATGAAGGGAAATCAAATTTTTATGTTTAGCGACAAATCACTAAATGGTTTCATTAGTCGAGTACTAGGCTTCAAAAAGCCTAGCAACATCACACGCTCATTACGTGACCAATAACTATTAGATACAGAGGACAGAGAAGAAGAGAAAATTGTTTTTTTTTTAGCTCAATCGTTTGAGAGTTGTTCGGGCAAAGGGAAACAAATGCTTGGCTAAGCAGGTTCCGATAGAGCAATGAGGAATCAATGACGAAATGCATCCAGGGAGAAGCCTGTCCTCATCGTTTGTGAGAAAATGAGCTTTTAAGATGCACGCATGCCACAAATCATACCACTAGTTTACCTTACCAAACTGTTTACTTTTGCTACTAGTCATATCAAGAACTCAGTCAATTGTTTACCTACTTATGAACGCGAGGTTAGAACGTAGAACGAGCGTGTCGTATACTATTCAAGTACTTCATCTACTTGTACGCAATTTATAGCTCACACTGCCAGTCACACTTGACCAGTTGATTATAAAGAAATGTTTTCATGCGAAAGCATTGGGTTTGACTGAAAGTCATGTCTCCCCCTCCCACCACCCCCACCAGATTCTTTCAAAAGCCGCTCCACTACCTTGATCGTCATTTTCTATTGTAGCTGTAGCTGAATTATTTACTTTTATCTAGCTCTGTTTTTCTAATATCTTCTGCAATTGTCTTTAAAAAAGCCGTAAGCTACACTTGATTTGATCGTTTGTTTTGATCGAGTCCGGCCGAATTCTTCAGCATTCTAAAATTTTCTCGGATAACCATTCTATTTTCCACCTTAACCGCTTAGTAGCTCATTCTAATAATGCTTCCTGAAGTTACAAAAATTGTTGAATCAAGTAATGTTAGTAATGGCGTCAAAGTCTACTACGGTATGTTCCCTCATGTTGTGCACCCAACGATGGCACACCCTAGTTTTCGGCAATACTTCTTATCGTATTTTATAAGGTAGACATAACAGCGGGTTAGCTTCGTTAATGTTGCGTTACGTACATTTGCCGGATCTAACTCCTTAGTAGCTGGAAAGGGAATAATCTAATCGTTTATCAGTTTCCCTTGGTTTTTAGAGCAGCTGGATGACGGATTTTCGACAAGTCAAGTTTTTCGAATGTTCGCTTAATACTAAGCTTTATACATAAGTGAACCGGTAATAGTTAGAAAACTTCGAAAAAAAACTCAGCTCAACTTTAAATCAGCCTTACTTTTTGGTTTATTGTTAGTTTCGCTTGTTTTTGACAAAATCCATGCCTCAGTGATTAGACAGTTAAGAGCATGTCACTGATTGTTGAGCAACTTCCACGTTTGCTAAATATTAGTTCTACTGATAATTTCTGGAAATACGTTCCTGTTCCGGTCAGTTATTTCAAATGCTACGGATAATCATTATTTCGCTTTAGGGTGGGTGATCTTTTTGTTATTGTAAGCGCTATTTCGTTTTTATTTATACCTACCGTGCTCTAATTATATTTGTTCGGTCGAACGACAGGGGAACGAGCTCTGAAATGTTTGATTGATAGTGAACTCTTGCGAATCGCTCCACCCTTAAACATCTATCGAGGACCAGGGAGCGTTCGAACAAGGGACATCCAATCAATCCTGCCAGGATGGAAGCCTCGGTGGTGGAGGGTGCATTATCCGTGGGTCACGTCACAGCTCCTGTATTTCTTGCTCACTGAGTTCGAACTTCGCTGAATTCATTTCATGAGTTCAGCCGACGTGCAAGTCGTCATCAGGAGGAGGAAATAAGCAAGGCGAGATTAGTCTCTGGAAGTGCAACCCTATCCGCATCCCCATCCTATCATGGCCCTGTTAAATGCGATTGCGGTAGCAATGGTTGCATTCATAGTAACGACGCTGACGCCCGCATCATCCATTCATATCCCACAGATCGATGACTCAAGCTGTACATAATGCCTTTTTAAACGTTCGAAATGTAGAAATTACTTTAAGGACGGTGACGCCGGCGTCTGTATTACGAATGCAACTTATGATTAAGGCGAGCGAGATAGATGTTGCGATAGTGCGTCGTCGTGTGGACGTTTTGCTTCACTTGTGTGAGGTCATTTGCCAGTACCACACAAAGAAGGATGACTGACTTACTATACATGTGTGATCCCGTTTAGGCTTATTGTATGATGTAATATACTTTCTTGACAGAAGCCGCAATACAACGTAGCTCTAACTTGTGCCATATCTCAGAACTGTAGTCCTGCCTACGTAAGATCGTCGAAAGGGAGTCATTATTGATTTTGGATCAGCAAAGGTCTTTGCAAACTCCTTTTGACATTCGGTATCGGCAAAATTTTCTTAGCTCTGGACCACCCAGCCGCTTTCTCCTACATGTGTTCTTTATATGAGTCACTGGGTTCCTATCATGGAGTGGTGACGAATAATGCTTTTCTAACCGTCGAGTTTCCCTTCTGATACCCCTGCTATTCCTGATGATACTGTTTGCATCTATTCTTTATATTTTCACCATAAGCTCCACTTTTAGTCAATGCGACGCTCGATACAGCTCTGCTTATCAAGCTGGACCACATCGAATTGAAGTGAAACTAGGCCTATCTTATAGACTTATAGGATTTATTTTCTCTTGGGAGACAGGGGTGCACGTAATCCTGCGATAAAATGTATGGATTGCTTTGTTGTACGATATGAATCTGCTCAACTCGTTTTTGTTAAATCACGCTGCATGTTATTCAATTTCATAACCAATCGACAGAAATGATGTTAATTTCTGAGCACTGCTAACAGTCATTTAATTCGATGCTGCATTCCGCTCTCTTTTCACTGTTCGTCGAAATATCGTGCTTTTGCTCTAATGGCTGCATTGTTCTGTACAGAGTCTACATTTCAACGATCTTTTTCTTTAAGAAAAATGGGCAATATATTGAGGAGACGAAAGAAAGTGGTCACGGAAGAACTGGAGTCCCTTTCTCACCAAATGAAAGCGTTCCGAGAAGATATTGAGAAAACTGCGGAGGTTCGCCATACATTACCTGTTCTTATATTTTTGTCGTGAACATTCGTCTATGACTCCGTCTTCCTTTTCCCTCCTAACCTACCAACTTCATAAAGGGATTTGAAGTCAGTGAGGGGAACGCTGCGAGTGGTGCTGCTGTAGTGGTGGGTGATTAGTCGCCCTTTACCCTTCAATCTAAAAAAACATGATGTCTAGAAAAATTGCGCTCCATTGGCACCGTTCTTTTTCTACCAGTGTTCCTCCCGGTCTCGCTACTCAGTTCTTGAGATCCGTCGAACGGTTCATTACTTGAGCTACATTGTAGTAATGTTGGAAATCAAGTCTTAATTTTAGTACATACGACGCCTTCATGCCAGGCCACCACTCACGTGGGATCTTTCAGAGTGAAGAGAGGTGTTCGTCGGTTCAGTGTTTTTGCAATTCAGGCGAAGCGAATGATTTTGTGGTATCTCACGCTATCTACATTCTTTTTTTCGTCGTCCATTATTGCATATACGTGGATCACTTTTCAGCGGAAGGAACATAAGGTTAGCATCATCCGTTCTAAATATGTGAAAATATGTTAAGTGGCTTCCTCTTGTACGCTGACTCTGTCCAGACCATGCTATTGCTTGTTTTGAATTTTAACACTACTCTCCTATAGCACCTCCCACCGCTGACTGACGCCCCCTTGCATTTCAGATTTGTTCCTCTTGAGGACCCTAATACTGTTATCATTGGCAGGTATCCGTGACATTTCTCACATTCTCCTTTTTTACACAGATATTACTTGCTCTTCTTTCCTTTGTTGGCGGCCTGGTGCTGTTATGGCTGGGAAGGAAAGCAGCAAATGCTTTCTACAATTGGAGAATCACACGAAAAAGACAGGTGATATTTCAATTCGGGTTTTTAGAACTTTGGGGTAGCATTAGCAAATTCGAATGGAATTACGCTAAAATGTTTAAGTTCCATTTGAAAACTTTCATGTAGTGGATGAAGTTAAGCTGCTTGTTCGCATATGTGCGAACGCAGAAATGCGCCAGAATTTGAAAGTTCCTAGGATTGACTATTTTCAGGGACTTGACAGTTTGGTTGCAAGGAAGAGATCTTTATTAGAAACGGTGAAAGAAACGGAAACATTTAAGGTCGGACAAGTTGTGCTTAATTTTCTGACAATAAATGGTAATGCTTATCGTTCTCTCATGTGATTTTGTCTCCAGGTTGCTAAAGAAATCCTGGATAAGTACGATCAAGAAAGTCCCAAATCTGCTTCACAACCTTCCAGTCCAACTATGGAGAAGCGTGCACTTCCGGTAAATCGAATTGGTAAGTAAACAGTTCAGGTAGCATATCTAACATGATGGTCTAAAATGGTTAAATTCTTTGTATACTCGGATCAAATTTGATACCCTTTCGTTGACCCTTTTTTTCTGCTATGAAAACGACTTAGCAATACTAAACTTATTGGACACGAGAGCAGATTCCGTTCAGATTGTGGTGAGCGTGGGCTTTCAGATAATTGTGAAACAAACTAATTTTTGTGGTGACAATATGCAGTGCCCATTGCTTTTACAGAGCACATGAACCTTTTTCTTTCGAACCAGGATAAATCCTACCGCTAAGCATTCTGTCGCAGTTGTTTCTGATACTGTTGGTCACAGTTCATGTGTAGCTGATTTCGTTGCGCGGAAAGATAAACTTTTTTCACCAACCACACTTTTCGTTATGTTTATAAGGACTGAAACTCGTTTACTGGACAAAATGAATTGGGATCTAACTTCCCTTAAGCGAGTCTTCTTACCACATGCACAAAGAAAGAGGACAGAGTAGCTTATCACCATTGAAGTCTGCTTCATTATTGTATTAGGTTGATGCATAATTACTGCATATTTTTTTTTNTTTTTTTTTCAACGAATTCTGTTTAAAAAAAACGATGAAATTATTTAACAAGGGCATGTTCAAGTAATTACTCCAGAGTGTATCCACCATCTTAAGTCAAACATTGCTTCCCATTTGCTACGAAGTTGGGTTTCACAGGCTAAGAGGTCCCGATTCTTGAAGGCGATCCACGCCTTGACATCGGCCATGAAGTTATCCATTTCGTCGTAAGTTCTGGACGCTAACCAATTTTTCGGCCAACGGTTGACGTGATAATCCATAGGAAATTCTGTCGGTGAATATAGAGGATTTTAGGAGCACAGCTCGCTCCTTACTTGGCTTTGACTGACTGTTCCATCACCGAAAAGTTCGTTGAGATCACTCTATGACTTTACCTACTTCCAACCGTTGTCGAAGTAGAAAAGCATAATGTGGCGGTAAGAAAGTGACTTTTTAGAGCAGTTCCGTGTAGAAAAGCGAGAAGCCTATTTCTATAAAAATCCTGAGTTCAGTATTCAAATTGTATCGAGAGAACAGAGGCCGCGAAAAAATCCGCAATAATTATGCATCAACCTTTATTTCTCTTTATCATATAAGGAGTTTGAATGAGCTCCCGGTCACTGTATCCTATTTATTCAGCAACAACTGTTATTTCTTTCGCAAACAGCCAAGCTCAAGTTGAAGTGTAGGATTCAACCCCCAAAACTGTGCAAAGTGCGGCGCTTTCATATAACTCGTCTCACTATTTGTATGGTAAATGTGGTTCTACTTCAGCACTTCAGTCTAATCAAAAAATAAAACAGTCACCAAGAAGATGGTGCTTCTTTTTGCTGTTTGTTCAGATTTAACAATGTTTAGAACAGTTCGCAACGCCTACCCAAATCATGGGTCCAGTTGGTCTATCGATGAGTGGCCCTCCACGCCCTCCAGTGAAAAAGCTATTCACGAAGAGTTCCGAAGACATTGCATCAACAGAGGTGGATCAATGTCATTTTACTACATTTCTTCAAGTGATATTCTACTAACGTTGAGCAACACCGATAAGAAATTATAGTATTTATTATTATAGGGTGCTACTTTGAAAACGCCAGCTATATCGCGCATAAAGCCGATCCGCCCATTTCAGCGGGAAGGCACTACTTTGGTCGATAAAATGGTGGATTATTTCTTTGGAGACGGACCGGGTCAAAGGTTAATTCTAGACCATTTTACAGTATTGCTTGTTGTTGGACATGTATTTGTTGTTTTAGGAATGCTCTCATTTGTTCAAATTGTCACGGACATAATGGAATGGCGCTTCCAGCTGAATTCGATTATCTCGCTTATGTGTGCTATATTTGTGGGCACTTCAATCCGGCCAGGAAATTCAGGCAAGTTTGTGTTATTCTCAAATGTGTGTAGTTGTTGTAACAAAAAAAGGGCGCAATGAAAAGTGAATGTTTCTTTAAGACCTGGTAGAATGGCGCCTTCATCCGCTTCAGCAACGCCGGCTCCACACATCTCAAAGCCCACATCAGTCAGTGCTTCTTTGTTTGCCATTCGTTTAAGAAACGAAGAGCAGGATAGATGTTGAGAAAGTAGTGCTACTTTTTTGAGTTTGATTCAACTAGTTTAGAAAGTACGGCTAATGTAATTTTGTTCGTATAGTGTCGGTGTTGCAACAGACTTAGTGCGTTAGAGCGCTTGATCGGGTAAGCCACAGATCAAGAGCTTCCAACCTTTTTCAAATCTTTGACGACGGCGATTTGTTTCAAACGTCGATCGATTAAAGCAGTCTGTTATAACCAACCTGTTTGGCTGAGCAGTAAACATATTGTGCAAATGCCAAGGCTTGATGAAGACTGTACTTCTGAATTTGTTGGAAGAGTTCCATTTAGGATCCCTCCACTTCTCTATTGGATCGTAACCATCGAACGGGGATGGCGGATGACAAGGAAGAAAAAGTTGTGAGTGTTACCATGAGCACTAAATTTTTGCACTTTTATCATATTCGTGCTTTTAAAGTGTTCTCCTGCTAGAATTAGAGTCGAAAGTGTGAATTTTGCACTTTCAATCGGCTGCCTCCAGTCTATTCTAGCCTAGTCCAAAGGCATTCACAATTAAAAGTTGAAATTGTTACATAAGGGCATTATTCGACAGCATGCGTACTGCAGGCAGGGCTCAGTATGTTGTGCGACTAGCACGGTTTGGGCGCTTTGCGGTCAATACCTTCTGAGTATTGAAAATAATGCTTTTGCTCTGCTGTGAAAAGCTCTTCTGCAACTCTAACTTGTTACTCTACCTAAAGTATCTGCCGAAAATATCACATTTGCTCAGATTAATCTCGGATTTTACCGAACATTCTATTGGGTTTATGTAAGGACACCAGTACGCTTATATTCATAACGTAACCGTCTTTAACTTATTTGCTCATCTGTCCATGTAATGATCGAACTGTCCCTTTATTTTCATAAGGAGACAGTTCCATCATTACATGGTTGAATCATTTTTTAACATTAATTTTTTCATCCTTTTTTTCCTCACGAGTTCGATTCGCCCATAACGCTGTTAAAACCCATCGAAACAATGTCCAGCATTTGGCTTTTAAGCCCTATCTGAGCTGTGTGCACTCATCGTTCTAACGCTACACAGCTTGGAACAAGAAGTTGAAGATACTTCGGGAGAAATCTGAACTACTGAGAAATTTTGGGCAGTCACTTTCCGCGCAACCTCTATTAGAATCACTCTTCGGTGGCGTGCTCAGCTCCAGATAGATTCGATCATCAATAGTGAACAAATGATAAATGATTACCGGTGTTACCTAATGTTACCACTAGTAACTGCACCAATCAATTGAATTCCCATAATACTTTCAGGGTCTTTGTTTCCCGATCATTCTTTTTCACTACTTTTGTTATGTTCGTGTGAAAGAATTGCACGGGTTTTCGTTAGGCGTGGGCTCAATGAGAAACTGCATGTTTTAAGGATTTCCTCTGTCTTTCTGAGCCCACTTCACTGATTGCAGGATGATTCTTTTGACGACTTGTCGAACGAAAACGTGCCAGAGCATACGGCGTAATAGCAGTATTTCTTGTACTCATAATACTTCTGTAGTCCTACTTGTGCATTATTTTAGATATATGTCTGTGTTATGAATTCTCTGTGAATAGTTTAATCAAAATGTACTTTAATGTTACCACGATCAGTGCGCTCTACTCTCATTTTACTGCTCGATTAAAAAATGCTTGCCGAGTATTGTAGCTACGGGAGGTATTTGTTAAGGTCTCCTATGTCACGATAGTGTTTTAAGAAACCGTTTCTTTCATGTGTGATCCTCTTTTTTTTTTTGAGAGTTCTCAAGCCTTTTTAGCTCGATGATGACTTAGTCGTGTGATGAATTTTGCTTCATAAAAGTTCTATGATGTGTAAACAACATTTGTGATTCTTTTGTAGAGAAAAAATTGACAGCTCTATTGCAAACTCACAGCTTATTAGGTTGTGGATTTGTGTTTACAGTTTTACTTTTAGGAATCAAATGAATTCGAATGGGTTATGGCGACATTTTGTACGAAAGGCACGATAAAAGGCTAATGTAGATGGCGGTTACAACTGACTCCTTCATTTAACTCCAAAAGACATCGCTTACACTTACATCTCTTGCTTTATCATCGAATCGTCATGTAGGGAGTGGCAACGTCTCTTCTCAAGGGCCGTGCAGGATGCTGCTGAAAACGCTTCGACAATGCGGCCCTCTAAAAACTTCTTTTACATACCCTTCCTACATTCTCTCTACTTCTCGTGAGCATCCAACTTTGTGGTAAAAAAGACGTAGATAGAGAAGTCTTCACGACACAGGCATTCCTACAGAAATCTGGATTTCAGAACCGCTATTAGTTAGGGGCTTGTCAAGTTAATGGAGCGGCTCTACGTTCGTAATTTCCCACTGATGATCCATACCTTTTTTAGTAATCTGTAGAATAGCGAGCACTGAATAGTCGGGGAGTTGCTGAATTCACCTTTCCAACGTGGTCTTGTGCGCAAGATTCTGGTATGGAGCACTTCTGAATAGGTTTGTATACGTGCTCTCAATGTTCTCTAATTTTCCTATTTCGAGGACGAAAAAGAGAGAAAAATGAAACCAGGGTACGTAATTAGTGAGTCCAACTCGTCCTAACACGACAAATTCCGAAGCGTCCGTGCGCATAGCCATGTGGATACTTTTTAACGACTTAGGTTGGCCTACAATCAGTATTCGATACACGGGCGAGATAGACCAGCCACCATCGCTTGGCTTCACTTTGACTACTGCAATCTTGGCGACTAGTTACATGTAGTGCTTTTGCTGTTTTAACGAAAGAACGAAAACAATATGGGAATGTCTATCTCTTCCTTTGGGCTGACATTACGATGAATACTCTTTTGGGTAGTTCCCATCCAGTCATGAATGATAATAAGGTAAAATCCTCAACGTTCTGATTTCTGATCCAGTTGTCAAGAAGATGTGAAGTCAAGAACACTAAACAACCTTGTAAACAACCTTCACACCAGTCAAACACGATGTCCCCGAAGAAGATGCTCATCTTGTTTTCAGAATTAGGCTGCCCTGGGGAAGTTGCTTAAGCATGAACAAGAGCATGACGCACGTGATCTCCGAAGGAGGTACATAGTTTTCGGAAGTTAGTGATTAGTATTAGTGCCTATGTAGTTCGTATATTCCGCTCTTCATATCACGTAAAGATATTGAAATGTAAAATATGTAGTTAGCTCCGAATAGTGAGATTCTGATATTCAGGACTGCGACAGTGATATAGGGCAGCTGGCCCTGTTACTTCGATCAGGGACCGAAAATTGAATTTCGTTTTGTATCCCTCCATGTCAACCAAATTTCTGAGGTCGATTTCGTAACCAAATAGCAAGAACTTCTCTAGCGAAAACGTAGGGATGCTCCTTCTTCGAGTCAGTTTCCTTATCGTAATTTTTTTTCTTTATTCCAAAGCAGTTCATTCTTGTAAGGCTCGTTGTTTAGTTTCCTGATGTCATGGAGCTGCCGAGTACGGCATACTGATGGGGATACTTTTTGATTAAGGGGGAAGGACAGAGTAACTTTGGAAAAATATCTCCAGCTCTAAAAATAAGTCCAACAACGAAGATAGTGGAATAGCAACCCCATTTGTTATGTCGTCACTTTTTCAGCTCTCGTAATTTCAGTGAATTCCGGAGAACGGCTACAAATGGTTGTGTAGCAGCTGATCATGGGTCATTAACGAGGGCTTGGCATGCCATTCCTCCGGTCATCCGAGGGCTGTGGCTTCACGCTATAGGTTTATCTTCTCATAATGACTATCTTCTCAAGGAGGCCGCCATTCTGTTGTTTCCGTTCAATTCAATCCAGCGTGAGAACATTTTGGAAAGACACACACATACGTACGGCGCACTTTAGCTTTGATCAGCGTTTTACCAACTTCGCACTGAGTCTGCGGTCTCAATTTTTCTTACACAGCAACGCGAAGATGAATTCTGATGATATAATAAAATGGCCAAAGTTGGCGTTTTTGTGGACCCAGCTTATCATAAAAATGAAGTTGTTTCAAAAGAGTGAAAGCTGTGGTCAACTGCTCCTAGAACCACCCGAGGTCAAAGCTCTCACCTCAGCTGCCAATCCCTTTCGGAATGTCGATTCTATGTGAAAAATTCTCATAGCATGTTTGTTGACCATAACAGATTCCCGTTCACATGGTAAGGAAGCGCTATGTAACTACCTGCTTAGTCCCATGCCTACCCTCTGCTATTCCACTAGTTTTAGGTCATAAGGACTCTGTTCCCCAAGCTTATTTGTGGTGAGTTTGACTTAAGAAGTTTGCAGACTTTTCTTTCTCTGCAAAAATCGAGTGGTCAAAGTTCTCTACATTCGTTGCTGGTAGCTAATTGAATGAGAATCCTTACGAACCTCTATTGATGTCGCGAAGAAGCCATTCATATGGTAGTCATGTCAAGCAACCAAAGGAATGAGCCTGTCGAGCATTCGGCATCCTAAGAGCTACGGCCTGGTATTCCCCTTTCTGGTTCGGCTCTATTGAGGAAGGTACATTCCCCGCTCAATTTTTTCTTGGAGTTGTTTTACAAGCTATGTTGAGAAAGGAAGGGTTGGAGGAGGATGTTTCGATTACCATAGTTTTATGTTGCTATTCAAAAATGAGTGTCATCGAAGAATGCTTCGCTATCCCATGTTTGTAGCACTTTCAGAGTCAAGATGGGGGAAATAGCTAAAATTGAATGCGGTGTGTATCCCAAAACGGGTATCGATCAATGTCCCTTCTCGGTATACGCACCGCTAACACGAATACTTTGAGTTAGTTGATCGAATTTTCATCTGAACTCTTCTTCGCTACAATGCTCGCGAAAACTGAAAATAATCGCTCACATTACCGCAAGTTCTACAAAGCAGAAAGCGGTCAACTGTTAATGAGGTCGTCAAGTGCTCATCTATTACCTAGACGAGCTCTATAATGGTGTTTAGAAGTAGAAAGTTCCGTTGGGCTACTTTCTTCTGAGCATGGAGCGAGCGATCTTGGTATCCAGTACTAGAACCGTCTAAGTCAGTTTCGGTCGTTAATAGGTTTGACTGACAAGCTAACCTCTCAAGCTTGCCCTCTAACTTCAGAAACTCGAGAGATTCCTTCTTTGATCAAGGGCAACAAGTCATTTGAACCAACAACGAGAATTAGTAGTCTCATTAACATTTCTTGGCGTGTTCGAGCGAGATTTCATTTTGATAAAGACGAATAGGCTGCGTCATTTGAAGGAGGACCATGCCGCATTCACTGAACATGATTCATTTATGTCAGCGACTCTTTAGGTATTTCTTTTGGAAGCTTCCAACTGGTAACTAGTAATGGTGATCTCAAACCCAATGAATTTAGATTGACATTAAACAAAATGAAAGAGCTCATAAGAAGATCTTCATAGTCAGAGCTACTCTTCTCTCTAAAATTCTGAGTGTGGCCGTAGGCCGTAAACATGCCGGCTGTTGAACGCGAGCTATACACTAGCTAAACTACAATACTGTAAGCAAAGAGTGGAATTCAACCCAGTAATCGCCATCAACTTAAGGCAGGCTACGGTGCATGCCAAATTCCACGCAATTTTTCGCGAATAACAGCTGTGGAAATGCCTTTCACGACGATAATTGCTCGAATTGCACATGAATGTTTTTCAATATGTGATTAATTTCAGTGAGTAACCCACGACATACATATTTATACGAGCAACACAGTACGGTTAGGAGAGTGAGCGCAACATGATTTCATCAAATGCATTTCTAACCAGAAGATGTGAAGATGAAGAGTAAACAGCCAGCAACAGCAGTACCGCGCAACTCGGACAACGCAGCACTGATTTGTCGGACGGAACCATTCACTTCACTTTCGACCAAATCGAATGAATTCGAACTTGTTGCGGCGTTTCTCGGCGATCTTGAGTGGCGTACCTGATGATGGGTAAGAAAAGTAGATGTGAACTTCTTTCTATAGGATAGTACCCGCTTAAATGTTTACCTTCTTGCATGCTCTCAATATTGGCAAGAGCGTTCAGGAGTTGCGATGAAACCTGAATGATTCATGACAGGGCTAGTTAAGCGATCCAAAACCCTGCAGACATATGCCGAGGTCTTACCTTTGCAAGCAAATCACTATTATCAGTCTCGAATACCACTGGTTGCATCAACTCCGGCGTCCCTTTAGCGTCTAAATCAAGCTATTCAAGTGCAGTCGTTGGGAATTAACGGCAGCCATTCTAGGGGCTATTCATTAGTATTGTGTTGCTAATTCTTATAAGCAGGGGTAACGAAAGCATCCACTACTGAGACATTCGATTACTTCATCGATAGCTCCGAAGACCAGCTCAAAGAGGCGCGCTTTCAAAGTCAGTCGAGTCACAAGAGGTCAGAGGCTGAACACCGAAATTTTCTTTGCTACCGAGTGCGGCCAAGGCGCGTAAAGGCGAGCAGTGTGCTTAGATAAGTAGGCATGTATAGAACTCACGTGACTTTTGTGCACTGATGAGTAGTGCGCTGACTAGTAAAAGAGCGACGGTAGCAGTTCGCATTTTGGACGCTGAACTTGCCTCGATAGTTCTGTGGGAGAGTGATGTGAGGGAGTGAATGGGATAAGGCCGTGGAAGAGGGCGGCACGCAATCAAGCTGAGAGATGGCGTGAATTGTCCAACAAGAAGCATGTAAGGGAGATGGAGACCGCCCTCTCCCTTACAGAAGCAAACAATCATCCAATCAGTCAACGGGACTTCGTTGTTACATTCGCCAGCCGGACGCGCTCAGCATGCAGTTGTCTTTGGAACAATCGCATAAATTGCGCCAAGATGATGACAACACTGCGACAATTTTAAGTCGCCACGATAAACCACCAAATCTCTAATGGCAAGCTCATGCTGCATTACTGCCCTTAACAAAGTTGGATTCACTTCAATGTGAACTTGATGGTTTATAAGGCGAGCAAAACATGTGTACTGAAAAGATAGGATGGCATCCCTCTTGGAAAATGGCAAAGTCGACAGGATGATGTTTACTGCAATGATGAAGTATCGTGCATAGATTACATTGTTTATTACCTTTATTTCCCATTCACAAATTGGGAATCATAACCCTTTAACATCACATCGCACCTTCCTCACAAGTCACAAAGTCCTTGCCCTGCAGTGCCTCATCTCTGGACAATGACCCCCATCATAGGGTTCTGGAATCCAACCTAAGCTTTCGACCTTACCGTTTGATTTTCATGTATTGCGCATTGAGTAGAGCTCTTTTGATAGTAATCATAGTTTGAATTATAGAGGTTCCGTTAAAATTCGGAATTTCTCTCCACATAACACTTTTGCCCAGTGATCGCAGCAGAGGATACACACAAAGGGAACAATTCCACCAAACTATCGTGAAGTAGGAACAGGAGCAGTAGTGAGTAGAAAGATTAATAGATAGCAATGAAGTCCGTTATGGTCAGCTTGCGGATGCTTTGCGGAGTCGTTTGTTGTAACAAATTTGGTGCTTATTTCGTCCTCGCACATGTTTATTACCCATAAGGGAATTCGGACTGCTCCTTCACGTTTTTACCCAAATACAAACATTTCGAGGTTACAGGGAATGTTGTTCGTAAGATTTTGACGAATTACTCTCGTAAAGTTTAACGTGAAAAGATGGGGACACTTGCCGACAACTTGATCTCGTTACTGCCCGGAATTATATGAATTGTTCTACTAAGATCTAGGAACCAATAAGAGTTGCACATTCGTATCGCAATATATTACACGTATTCGTATCTTTTCTGAATTTTTGTAAAGCAACTAAATAAAGAAAACAAAGTCCCATTTCTTTATTCTCTAGTACAAGATGTCGATTCAGGTAATCACAAAAGCCATAGGCCTTCCATGGGCATCTCTGAAATGCACAGCTTTCCGAATTGGGAATAATATCCGAAACTGAAATCAGATGATTACCTAGCAACGTCGCCACTCAAATTATCCGGAGAAGCGTAAGATTCTTCCATGCGACGGTTGTCATTACGCAGGCTCAACTGAAAAATTCTCATTCTTTATGAAAGGTCTAACACTGCATGGCAAAAGTAGTGGAACTGTATGCTACCATTCGTAGAACTCATGGGGGTAGCTTTTGCATTTCTGAAGAGGTGGCGCACAGGAATATAGTCTATTCAACATGGTAGATGGAATAAAGCAGTGAGTTCAGCGTCAGCTTAATTCTTTTCGATGATACCCCTCACACCTCTGTCTGTCTGTCCGAACATCGAGAGGGTGAACATTACTAAAAATGAGCTGTAGCTGCTACAGAATGAGAGAGCAAGTGGGGAATAATGTGAAACGTGGGTATGGAAATCTAAAGCGGCATGAAAGAAGCTAGAATACAGTTCGAGGAGGGGGGGGGGGGGGGGGGGGGAGGGAGCACAAGAGCCTGAGAAGGCAAGAGTTTGCGATTACAGTCAAACCTTGACCAACCGCTCCGGCTATTTCGCTACGGATCGCTTGGTCTCATCATAAAACTGCGATATGCTGGTTGCCCCACTGGGAGTGTTATCCTTTTCTATATTAAAGAATGGGTCGTGTGAAAGGAATGCAAATGGTGGAGCACATCCAGAACAGAGGACGACTATAGGAATTCTCAATTATTGTAGTTCCTCTGAAAGGTAAGAGGGTAAATTTATTTGCTTTCAACCAAGTGTTGGTTCGGAAGGAATTTCTGAAGAAGGAATATTGGTGAACTTCTTAGACCTTGTATGTCTGTGTACACCTCCGAATCACTGCTTATGAGTGCACTGTTCCTCGACGTTGCCCAGTTCCACATAAGGCATGCAGACGTAAGGAATGAAATAAAGAATAATGAAATAAAAATGTCCCTATGGATCAACGCAAGATAATTGGCTCAGTGTTATGGGTATCAGGGTTTTGAACAAGTTAATGTTTTGTCAACCTAGAAGCCTACAAAGTCTACCTAGAAATTGATATAAGTTTTGTACTTTTTAAAACACTCATCAGAACCGATCGTTTTATTGGATTTTTTTAGCGTTTTGGAACACTACATGTATGAGGAAGAAGCCATGAGTACGAATTATTATAATATCCAGAGCTACTCTACCGTTGTAAAAAATTTAATTCAATTCGAACAAATCTCCAAGTCAGGAGAAGTTCACTTTAGTTCCAATGAAGTACATGAGTAAGAGCAAAGTCTGGTTCTTTTTTTCTGCCTATTCAAGAAGAAAGGAGCATAAGTTAATCTTCAGAAAATAGCAGACTCACTTCAACTGCAAAACCTCAAGCATGTCAGTACTACTGCAGTTAACCCACGCATTCAGCAAAGCAGTTCGTAGCAGCACATTAGAGCAAGGACAATTCCAAAGATTAGCAGGTGTGTTAATACTTTTTCGTTGTTAGACGCTTATATGCAAACTTTCAAGGTTTCAAAACACTCATCTATTTACCAAACACTCTTTTCACGTCAGTTTCCTCTTTCAATGTTCTAAAGTGGCTTCATTAATAGTCGTGCAGAACAACCTATACTCATATTCCCATATTCAAATGAGAATTAGAACTATGCTCTTTCCAAGTTCTGCCACAAATCGCTACACAGCTGTCACTAGTAACCCCTTATGACGCATTATCACAACGATTATGATGTTCCTTGCGGAAGTTAGTCATTTCCATTATGTACCCGATTACACATTTTCTGCAGTGAACACGCACATAGGGGATGATACAAAGGATCACCTCGTATATCATACAGATTGGGAATGTAAACCTACAATTGTTTCCATAACTGATAGAATATGGTGGACTACAGCAGACTTCCTCGCTAAACGAGACACCTGGCGTTAACCTTCAGCTGTCGTTTTTTTATGTGAAGACTGATTAATAATCGTACAAGGAAACCGACCGTATAGCATTTTGTGATAGGAACTTCGCATTAACGAAAGGAAAAGTAGGGTTAGATTGCGTATTCTACCTTAACATTATTTTCTAAGCCAGTCGTTGCGCAGGTCAACTCTTCCACACTCCCAGAGAAATTAACACTTTGATGGAACTGACTCAAGTGACTCGAGCAAACATATACGTATTGTGGTGGAGGTTTACCACAGTTCAAAAGTAACGGCAATGAGGGAGGTTGCATGAAGGAGATGAGCGATCAGATGAATGGAAGTTCCCTCACTAATTCACCCCTGGAGCTTCCTGGAACTTGTGTTCCATATTTCATTGGCTGTTTTACCTACTCTTTACAATAAAGTGTTTTCGACTCTTAGGTGATTACAATCTTGATGGAATTGTTTTCGTTAAATAACATCAAAGGTCGCAGTTGAGTAACCATCAACAACATCGCATTCAACACTAATCTTGTGTCACTGAATAAGTGTCAGGCATAGGAAAGGAAAGGATTTACTGTTGATGGGGTCTTGATGCCTCCACAAGCGAATGCAGCAGGTATCTCTGCGGTTTGGTAGTCAACACGCACACTGTGAGGACCTGCTCCATAGAGGATGAAGGGAAATTTTGAAGCCTTTCTTCGAACTTGGACTTACCAAACTTCAGTGAAGTACTGAATTTTGCATTATCAGCTGACCAAATTACTGGCTAGACATTCCATGACAGCTACTCCTTTCCATTTTGATCCACAGGAAACCGAAACTCTGTGGTCCCGCGACCTTATGGGCACAGTTTACGATAATTTAATGGGCGGGAACGGCAACGGCTTTTTCACCTCTCGATCGATGTCACGTCATCACGTCAGACGAGTGTCGAGACAATACAGGTTGCGAATATTCGTTCCAGGACCCACACGCAGCTGGTCGTCGAGTGACGAGGCGGTCTTTTTCTCCCATTCTTTTTTCCACCGTTATTTTTTTTGCTGCGGCGATCCCTTATTCCCTACTCCCAGAGGCTGGAAAAGGTAAGCAAATTCTGCTGCTACTAGGGTCGTTTTGTCTACTTATGCTTATAAGTGAATGAATTTTTGTTTACCATGGTCTGTTATTCGCACCAGGACCCACACGCACGCAGTGTGACACTTTGTATAGCTCGTACAAACCCCCACTCTTTTTCATTTTTCTGGTCTCATTCTCGTCCAGCCCCCTTTTTCGAAGCCTTTTTTCACTTTGGAAACACCGATTTAGGCAGTTTCTTCACTTTCATCGCACTATTTTCGACCTTGTCTTCCATTTTTCATCATAATCTGGATTACCCAAAACTATCGCGAACTATGCCTTTAAGCTTCCAGGAAGGATTCATTCAAACCAGGGAAGGATCCCAAGTCGAAGTGGCCATTTGAAATGAGACCTATACTGCTGGACGTGTTTTTGGATGCTGAGTTCAAATCTGCTTTCCAAATTTGCCGAGCGTTTCTCTGAACGGAGTTATGAGGGTGGTTTCAGGGAGCTTAACATAAGAAAACTTAAATTACATGAATGCGCCTTTCTCCTCAACAGCGGCTTGGTGTGGTGATAAGCGTGACGCTTCATGTGTGGGAGACTAAGGTTCGGGTTTGTGGAGGACGGAATTTTTGCATTATTTAGAATTTTTCCCTCAAGGACTAGAAACTACTGTCATGGTGGTTTTACCACGTTCTATGAAATCTTAGTGCTTTGTTGATGCCTTCTCCTGCCTACCTCCCTGTTACCGAGTAGGAGATTCTTCCGTGTGCAAAATTTGGAGCTTCGGGCGAGAACAAGGCATATGACGAGCAATGATGATGCTAAAGTGGGTCTTGGTGCTAGATTGGGTGCGATGGTGCGTAGCAGCTCCGGACCCACCAACACCGGCACTATTGACAATGGACTCGTGGATATCATTCACAGACCAGAAAGCTATTCAGTGCGTCCTATCTCCAAAAAAACAGATAAAGGGAATGACACTCTTCTCGAGGCTTCCATGGGGCTAATACAGCCAACAGAAGCCTCTTTAAACAATCCTTTTGAAAACATGGTTAACCGCGCCGCCTCATATGTAATAGCTCATGATCACAACTTTTGCGTGTGTCTGTGCTGTTAGATCTAGGAAGTTCTCTTTTATTCATGATGTGGTGCCGGCTACTTAAATGCTCACCCGGGTGATTTGGGGACGCCTACACAATTCTGTTTCCCTTCTGATTTGGGGTTAGTAACTGTGAAGCAATGGGCTGTGACGAGTTCTTTTCCATCCCTCGTTCCCATTGTGGGAATTTCTTTGTTACAAGCAGTTCGTGATAGTGTATCACATTTGGTCATTCAAGTGACAAAAGTTGTCCTACCGTGATCCTAGAGTGAATGGGCATGCGAGTAAAACTGAAGTATGTCTCGTATGTCGAAAGCAAATTTCAGCAAAGCCCTAAGACTTCATAGAACGTGATAAATTCACCATGACAGTAGTTTCTAGTCCTTGAGGGAAAAATTCTATATACTGCAAAAATCCTTTCCTCCACAAAACCCGAACCCTAATCTCCCGCACATGAAGCGTCACGCTTACCACCACACCATGCCGCTGTTGAGAAGAAAGGCGCATCCATGTAATTTAAGTTTCTTATAATAAGCTCCCTGAAACCACCTTCATAACTCCGTTCACAGAAACGCTCGGCAAATTTGGAAAGCAGATTTGAACTCAGCATCCAAAAACAGCAGTGTAGGTCTCATTTCAAATGGCCACTTCGACTTGGGATCCTTCCCTGGTAAGAGGGGACATCGAGCAGGCAGACATCGTGAACTGCCTTCCCTCTACTCCTCTTGTGCCTTGTTCTTACTATCAAAATGCACATGTATGGTAGTGTTCCTGACTCACACATCTTCGAAATAGTTTTCTGCTTGGCTTCGATGTTGTCATCGATTGCTATCAATGCTGTGATTATCAAATGATGGCACTTGAATACCCTCAGCTGCAAGTCGTAGCTCACGCACAACGTTTCCATGAGTCAAAACGTTTTCCAGGCAGATTTGAAATAAAGCGGAAATTCTAGTTCTAAAGGAACAACAATAGTAAATGATCTTGAAAGTTTGCAATTTTCACGCATCTTATTGTTAGTTCAGTATTCGGCATGAAAGCATTGTGCGCATTCAAAATTTTTGAAAGCAAGTGAGGTCCTAGAACGATTGTCACGTGGCTTTCTTAGTACCGAGTGATCCCATACGATGGCACCCATATAATTGTTTCACATAAGACAACTCGCGAGGTTTCCAAAATCATCACTGAATATTCGAAATGTAAGCAGCATCACAAGAGTTTCAATCCATATTTGATCTTATCGCCAACGTATTGGTGTACGTCAAAATCAGCAATTTTAGGACGACAAAACGTTCTACTGCTGTTCTCGGTACTGTAACGTCATCTCGAGACCTTAGTGGGGTGCGCCGCGCGCGAAGTGGGCGGGGTGACCCACTTCAACGCGGCGGGAGGGTGAAACGTTAGTTGTGTGGACGTGTTCGCGTTTTCCACTCTTATTCATGAAATAGAAAATCGGGTTTTTGAGACTTTATATTGACTGGCTTGCTGCTTCGCGTTCGAAGCTATGGTTAGGCAGTTGTCGAGAGCTGAAGGTATGGAGGCCCCCTTGCTTAAGTGCCCCTTATCTGTCCGCCGGAGGTCGCAGTTGAATTCGTTCTTCACGTGTTAAGTTGCGCACAGCAAGACTCGGTACATTACGTCTAAATCACTGCGTTCTGAACCAAGGACGATGACTCGCACGGAGAAATGTCTGTCTACGGAGAAAGATGCAAACTGTTGCCCTACCACATGCTTTCGTCTTTATCATCAGATATTGAGTTGTATGGACCGAGTCTCGCCAACGTTTTTCTTCGGCTCAATTGAATTTTGCGTTGGAGCTCTTCAATAATATTTATATAAATATATATGTATTTATAACGTTGACGGCAAGTCTGAAGTTTACATGGCTAAGGATGGGTCCTCCAGGTGTTAGAGGATGTCAAGCTACACATGGATTTCCTATGGTATTCCACTGAACCTGAGTGGGCTCCGCTCGGAAGATGCTGCGAAAATGTTAAGGTCATGATAGACCGCCTGAGTGGAGAAGTACTTACAGTACTTACAAGTACGTTTTGCAAGCGTCTAGGACACATTTTATGGAAAAGCAAAGCAAGCGCATGCATCAAGGAATCGAACCTTGATGTCATGCCTATCAGTCCACTATACTACCCACTCGGCCACCATTGCACAGGTACGGTCTTTGCTCGGCTCGGTAATCCGTTCGTTAGTGTGGTATAACACAGGGAAGCATCGGTCCCGTATCTTTGTTCCCAGAATCGTTTAGCAGATTTGGAACACAGATTTGAGATCAGCGTTCGAAACCACCTACGGAGGTATACATCTCATCTTGAATGGCCACTGCGACCAAGTATCCTTCCCTTGTTAGATGGCGACCTGCACTTTCAAAGACCGACCTGCGAATATATGATGGTGCAATCCCGGAAGATCAAGTACGACGTCATCAGACTGACCAAGACGAGAAGGCACCGCCCGTCGCACGCCATTTCTGGAGCTGGAAGAAAACTGTTTCTTAAAACATGCGAAAGCAGAGGCGTTGGCGGTTTAGGTGTCCTCGTCATCACCCACTTGACCCTGAACATTGATTCGATCGATAGCTTGCCAGCCCCAATCGGATGTTTGCGATTGAGAAGATGTGGCCCAACCCAGCTCTAACAATGTTCGCTGTTTACACACCAACATCGAGCTGCGATAAAGATGAGCTGAAGGCGTTTTATATGGACCTGGAGAGGCTCTACAGAAAAGACCACACTTCCTTCAAAGTCACCGTCGGTGATTTCAACGCCAAGATTGGTCCCAGAAGAACGGCTGAAGAGCTCCACATCGAGACTCCTGGAATGGAATGGAATGAGCAGGGTGAAGGGCTATCCGAGTTCATCATGTCGACTCACACCATCCATCCATAACTCGCAGTTCCAGAGGCCTTCTCATTTGTGATGGACACCTGGTGGACAGTTCCGTAATGAAATAGACCACATCATCCTTAATTGGAGATTTCGCCTGACTGACGTCCCTGTTGTTCCGAAGTTCTACACGCACTGAGAAGGATAATCTAGCGCGAAGGCCGGATTATCCTTCTCAGTGCGTATAGAGAGAGCTTAGAAGTTTAGGAAACGAAGCCCAAAACCTCTATCAACTGGAACCACTTCACTTCCCTTGCGAGTGAATGGAAAGATATTTTCAGCGACAACAGATGAAGAATAAGACCTGTTCGTCGAACATCTTCACTATAGCGTTAGGAAAGCAGAGAGTCAAAGATACCGAGAAACGTCTCTCTGCTAACACTCTCGAGCTCATACGCCAGAGAGGAACTTTGCGAGCTGCAAGCAATAACCAGCTAACCCCGAACTTACGAAGCTATGCGGAGAAGCGATAAAGGAATCTGAAAGAGAGAGGATCAACAGTTCTGCCTGAAGCCGCCGAGGCTGGGATGAGATTTTCAAAGCCCACCAGAGCTTCGTCAACTATGAGACCAAGATGACTTCCCTTCGCCGTCCTAAAGGAATTATTATTGCTTTCCGAAGAGCAATGGAAAAAATGATCTACGACTCCTACTCTGATCTCTTCGGCTGCCACGTCTACATGCCTACCTACCATCTTAGACAAGACGGATACATCGTCCCTTCAAATCATCTCAAGACTGCGTCGCTGTATAGGAAGGGAGATCCAGACGACATTGGCAGTTATTGCCCAACTTGCTGTCTGTAATCTGGAAACTTTTCACGAGAGTCATCCTTGACAGGTTTGACGGGATATTAGATGGAGGACAGCCATGCGAACAAACAGGGTTTCGAAGAGAGTTCAGCGCGCACCGTTAAAGACTCATTGAAGAATCGTGGAAATACACAGTGCCTTTATTTCGTACATTCATCAATTCGGAGAAAGCCTTTATACCGTCGAGACAGAAGCTGTAATTGAAGCCCTGGGCAACCACGGTGTACCTACACAATATAAATATAAGGATGCTTCTTGAGCTCTACAACAGCTTTGTGACCAGGATCTCGCCATGTATAAAGAAATCATTATCAACGTGAGGAGAGGATTCTACAGGGCGATATCACCTCGCCGAAGTATTCAGTGCCGCTCTCGAGAACATTATGCGTCATACGGAATGGAAAGGCATGAGAGTGAAGGTCGGAAGCCCCTTCTCACATCCATCGAACATCGAGCAGGCGGAGAAGTGCTGGCCGAATTCGACAACGCTTGGGAAAGATCAGATTACGGCTGGACCAACCAAAGACGATGTTCCATGCGAAACGGGTCGGTACATGATGCTACTTCCAGAACATCCCTGATTGATCTAGATAGGTGTATCAGGTCGCGAAGTCAATATGATGAACGACCTAGCACCGGAGCTGCGCGGAAGCAAAACGCGTTATGTTGGGATCATTTAAGAACATCGAGGGAGTAGTGAAGAAGACGAAGCATATGCGGCTCCGCGCTCATCTTTTCGACGCTGCGGCCCTTACAGCTTTGACGTATGCCTCAGAGACTTGGACTCTACGAAAGCAGGATGAACATGCACTCAGCCTCACTCAACTCGCTGTGGAAAAGACGGTGCCCGGAATTCCCTTGTACACGCAAGTGCAGAGTGGAATCCACAGCTTTGAACTCCGTCGAAAACGTCGGGGATACCGCTGTTCACGCAAAGAAGTTGAAAATCAGATGTGCCGAACACGTCATGCGTATGGTGATGACCGTTGGACCAGGGAGGTTGCGGACTGAATCCATCGTGATGACGCCAACCAAGCACAGGGGCGGCCGCAGCCCCCCCTGCTCAGACTTCTTCACGAGGGATTTGAACGGAAGTGTGCCGTTCAAATCCCTCGTGAAGAAGTCTGAGTTCAAGAGTGCTGTGCCTCGTGTCCGATTCACGATTCATTGGACTACCTTGGCTCGCAAAAAGGGCGAATGAAGACGTTACTGGCGCCCGCTCGAGGANGTCGATGATCGCCGGGTTGACATGTGAGGAGATACTTTGCAAACCGTAAAAATCATAATAAGTAGACAAGTGTTCAACTGAAGTATTATCTTTGTTGAGAATAGATAAAGTGCTCGGTGTTGACCAGTTTCTTGAATCAACCTTCGCCATGGTTTTTCCATCTATTTATCCATACAAAGTTTGATAATAGCATATTGTTTGAGCTGTTCTGCAAAAGCTCTGTTCCCTCCAGCCACGTCATCCGTAGTTTGAGATATTTCATATTGAAAAGTATGAGAAAAATCTCTTGAACGTGAACTATTGAAAGAAGGGCATCCCCCACTGAGCCGTCTGAGAATACCAGCTAACGCTAACGTCCACACGTATGTTCATACCTGCGAATCCTGCCTGCTTGCTCTTCTAGGCACCTTCGTAGAACTTGCGCTTGCATTAGAAGGAGGTCTGCTCTCAATCCGATGGGAACCACGGGTATCTGCTTCCTTTGTACTAGATGGTGGTCTTTGTTCACTCCTATGCGATGCACGAGAAGCTTCTCGTGACTGGTGATTCTCCACTGAAGCAGCAGGATCGTAACTGGCTGAAGAGTGTCTGAAATAGCCAATAAATCCGTTCCTAACTTCTAATTACAGACTCCAGCATGTAATACAGCCACCCTTCTACCTTGACAAAGCTCGTCGACTCGGTGTTCGTGGTGGTTTCCCTCCTAACGTTGGTATAACGCGATCATCTTCTGCCTTGAATTATATTAAACTCTCTTTAGTTCTCTAGATGAACATTAAGTAAAACACTATGAATGTCATATTTTCGTGTCAACCATCACAAAAGTTATCAATCTATTATATCACTGGTGGTGCACATTATTGTTTGAAGGCAACTTCTCCCAACTACTTTTTTGTGCGCGGTTCTCTTGTTCTCGTGTTCACACAAGACGCCTCGCCCCTGTCTGCAAGTTTTCTCCAGGTGCCGATTACGCACTATGTGCAAGAACGACCATAACAATGACAATGAACGATTAATTACTTTCTATCTTGTTATGAACAATTATCTGATTTGAAAAAGTATAATGGTAGTAAATAGGCTACTGAGCGCATTCACTGCTGAGAAATGAAGGGATGCTACAACGCGACTGAGACCAGGCGATGTTCAGACTAATGACTTTGAGGGTCTCCTTTTTTCGTATGGAACCTAGAACACGTGGATGTGAGAAAAGGTGCAGGGCGAAGGGTGGAGATAAAAGCAGCTTGTAGCGGTCAAACTTAGTATTAGGACCACCTCCGACCAAATGCTGAACAGTGGAACTATTTACACACTCGCACCATTTATCTTATCAAAGGGATCTTGAGTTGAATAACGCTCGACTAACAGTTCACGTTTAAGTACATTTATGCGTTTTTCATGGAGATTAGCCAAACGTAACTCCTTCTGTGAAATTATCATCTATTTTCTCAGCATACATACATTAAGGGACTAATACAAATTAAATTGGCTTCTATCCGTCTGGCTCACCCTTTGCTGCCACGAAGGCTTCTTTTCCCACCATTCCAGCGCTGGTGCTTCTGATGGAGATGGAGAACGTCGTTGTTCTAAAGGAGATAAATCAGCTCCTTACCAGCAATGAGTGTGAACGTGAATAGTAAATGTTAAATGCACGAAAGAATGGGGTTTACTCGACAAGGATTGTCACAGTAACTCTTCAGAACTCAAAAAATCCGATTCTTATTACTAAAATAAGTTAAAGAACGGAAATATACCACACCCTAAATTATATGAAACGATGTTGTGTATCGAATCGTTAGAAAAAGTAAATTCTTAAGGCAGCCTGCTGATTTGCATCGGAAAGATCTATCTAAAGAAAAGCCCAAAGCCTCTAATCGGGCACATTCGTTGTGTGCACGCCCTGGCAAGCTTCTGAAATAGCCTCCCTGATGGAGCTCACCTTTACGTGGAGGTGGTGGTGATGATCTCCGTCGTTGAGGCCTAGGATGGGGTTCGTACATCTGCTCATTACGTTTTTCGGCTTGCCTCGCTCGTTCTCTCAGTTTTCTTTCCTCCTCTTCTTTCTCTTTCCTCATTTTCTCATTGTATCGTTCAAGTCTTAATGAAATCGCTATAAAGGTAACTATGAAAACAGCAGCTTTCTTAGGTTTCACAACCTTTCAATTTCTTTTTGCTCTTCCATTTTTTCTTTTTCAAGTTCGAGTTGTCGTCGTCGTTTGTTCTCTTCAATCTGCTTCAAAAGATCAAGCTTGTGCTGCTCAGCATCTGATGGAATCCTGAACGAGAAATGTGGGCCAGTTCTGTCCACATTCATTATTATCTTGAGCATGTCAATCGCATAATCTCCAACAACGTACCTTTTACTAAGATTTGGTAGACTACCAGTAGAAGCAGTGTAATGAGCTAAACTCGCTGCACGATTTGGTGAATTCGTTAATGGAATACGATCCTCGGATACCTTCGAGAGCATTCTTGCAATTTACAGATGAAACATAGTTACGTATTAATTACACATCTTTCCTCAGTTTCTCACAATACTGCACAACGTAGGTAAAAGGAAAACTGACATAAATATAAACATTGATATAAACGTTTGGACATCGCATTTCTTACTGCAGAACTCATCTCCAAACAAAAACAACCAAACGGTCTATTGCTAGTTGAGCCCCATAATTTATGTAACAATTGATTACATCAATACCTTGTTGCAAGTTCACCAAGTCGTTGATGTATAGAAGTATATGAGTATAATATATGAGTCAGTTTGTATAGAATTTCTGTTGTCATAGCCGTGGCCTTCGCGAATTGAAGGCCAAGGCTGCAACGCTACTTTGCTGCTTTCGACAGACTTCGGATGTCTTTTTATAGGAATGAAGGAGCGTCCTGTATTTATGTGAGCTTTCTTGTTTATAGTGAAGGCGGTTGTACCGTGTTTCCCAGGTGGCCTGAAGCTAGAAGTTGCTGCTTATTGTCCCAAAACAGAAAACGTGAGGCCCTCCGCTTGTTCATGAACGGATATTCAATCATCGACAAAAGGATAAACACGTCTTAGAACACGTCGACAACGACATAATCATAGCGAATATTCCTGATGCAAGCCGTTGAACCGCCTTCTACGATCAACTTTTTGATTTTTCTTCTGTTGATTGCAGTTTTTGACAAGACATTCTCTACTTTACCTTCTCTTTTTGATGTTCTTCGTACGTTTCAAAGATGTATTCGAATACAGCAAATCCATTCTGGCCAAGTAGCTGCACAAAGGTTACATTACAATGCCCACTAAGTCTAGTTTCAGCACTCAAGATAAGGTATACCCCTTTGGTTGAAGTAAATACATTTTGTCTCACTTTAAATCTAGGAAATCGTAGGATAGGCAGAATCCATGCAGGTCGAAAACTTGAATCTAAGGAAATCCTGCAACTATTTCTTTGAAGATAGTAGAGTACAACCTCTACATGACTAAATTGTGCCGATCATATGCTTTTTCATGGGGCAGTTGTCTTAAGACTGGCTTTGCAGTCTAAAATTGTGTAATGTTTGCAGCAGCTTTCAGTAGAGAGCTACAGAGAGCTATCATAGAATTCTGAAGTTCATTGGATATGAGGGGAATATAACAGTTTTGTACCGCTCCAAAAACTTTTGTTGTTTTCGAATTTCTTAACAAGCCTTCCAGTTCAGTGAAGGCAGTATCTTAATTCAAATCTGTATTTGAATTTGGTCTACAAGATCAAATAATAATACCTGCGTTGATTCTCCCCCATACCATAAAGAAGACCGTCGAATACCGGAGCGAGGTTGAGGGTGTTGAACAGTCCACGGTGGTCCTTCCTCCATCTGGAGCGATGAGGGTGAGAAAGAAAGCATCATACGATGGGTTCAAAAAAAAAATGAGAAAAACTTGTATATCTGGTAATTTAGAGAAAATAGGCATTAGAGCATCAGTAAGGGAGGAGAGAATTTTGAAAGAGAATGGGTTTCCACAAAAAGCTGCAGTTTGAAAATCAGACAGGCCGAATTCATTGTGCATTGAAAGAAGAAATACACAGTATTACCGAAATGTTATTTGGAAATAGTGGCTCAAACAAAGTGAACACATATAAAGAAATCTCCAGGCGATTCTTCTCATCCCCGACAAAGGGCGATCTCAAGTGATATCATGCTGGAATGGAAAATAGCCCAGGTCTACTCCTCCAGATAAGCAGATACGGCACGCTCCACAGATTTGAAACAAAAGTCAGTAGGCCAGTTCTCACCAGCGAAAAAGGCACGTAGATGACTCGACATCACTGCTGAGCAATTTTGGCCTTGAGGGTGGATACAATACATGTACTGCTGATATGTCCAAGTAATTCCCAATATGAGAGTTGCCTAAACTATTATCTGAGTCAGAGGAGCCGCTTGATTTACGGCCTCTGTCTATCGTAACGGCTTGTAAAGTTTCCCCAAAACGCACGATAGTTTCGTCGATCATAGGCGGATTAGACAGTGAAAAACTTCTTGTCGAGGACCAGCTTACTGAAGTCTCCTTCAGAGCGCGTCCAAGCGAATTGCGGAGGTTGCTCTCCTTTCCAGCCGTGCTCACTGGTCTCACCCAAAAGAATAGCCGCTTTTTGAAAATGGCAAGCCGATTTATTCTCGATCACAGAAGGGGTGTTCCTGATATTCGACGATTCTGATCTTGCGAAATGTTCGGGTCCTGTGGATGGTCTGCCTGATCATTCCTCTAGCTGAACCAGCGAATTGACCTTATTGTTAGTCATTCATCGCTGTGCACCTCGACCACTAACGGGCGGTGTGAATATGTTAATTATGGCTTTGCAGTGAGCCAACAATCACGAAACTTGGCCGGCATGACGTTACGGATGTGTTAATCAAATTTCAGTAGAATCCCGGTCAGAACGCGCTTATTTGATTGTGGTTTTAGAGAAGGTGCTCTTATAATTTCACCTCATTCTGTAGGGAAACGAAGAGCTGATAAAAAAAGCCGTGAAAGTGAAATTTTGAGCAGATCAGAAGAGAATTGATGTAAGGAACTACGACTGGTTAAGTGGCAGGAAACAAGAAATACGAGAGACAGTAGTGGATTATTGACAGGCGAAAAATCATGCAAACAAGCAGGCTACATAGACAACATACAAAGAGTATCTGAGGGGTCGATATACTGCTAAACTATAAAGAAATACGAATTGGAAAAAAGTAAGCCGGTTCTTCATTCAATCTTTCTTTAGGTATCCGCTTCTGGAGAGAGTAAACGTGATTGGAAGTGCTCGAATTGAATTTGGGCTACAGTGCTAACTGATTTCGCCGCTATAATCGTAAATCCTAAATTTATTTAAAAAAATCAATTTGAACAAATTTTTTTTGGAAATCAGTTTTATGGTCCACAGAAATCGATCAACACCGAGCATTTTATCAATATATTGCTTTTATTTTCATTTTTCAAATACCTCGCTCGTGTGTTTATAACTCAGACCATACGATAAACATAGACCAGCGATCAAGGCCTCATTCAACTCGAACTACGGATTATAAGACCATTTTTTACGGAACAATATTAAAGCGGTAACCTACGTCCTGCCGCATTTGTTGTGAGTTTTGCACTGCTGAAGCAGCCGTCGAATTGAGCATTGGGCGGTTTTCGACGGCGTATTTCTCCTGAAACTGGCGGTTGCTGAGAGGTATCTAAGACGGAAATGTTTCTTGGATGCCACGTAATCGTTCCAGCTCAAGTACCTCCCCTTTCAGCATTGAGAACCAACAACTCGTCGTTATATTCTTATAAATTTTGGTAATCATCTTCACCATGATAATACTGAGTACGTCTTACTCGGTAGCCGCTGTTGTTGAAAGGATCAGAAGGGTTCACTGCCCCATTGTAGTTGCTGAGCTGACCATTATTGATAGCAGGAAAGAACCCATTTCTCCGCGCACAATGCACACAAAAGCCATTCTAAATGTGTCATACAGAATACATAAAGAAATTAATTTGATGCAATGGCATATGTAATTGAAAACTTTAGTGGTAATGGCATATTCTCCCAATAACAAATTTGATGCCACGCAGTCTTCAAAAGCTCCCAACTTGCTTTGTGCTAGAACAACACACACACTGATTCTGCCATGAAAGGTCATTCTCCTTTCATTCAGTGTGCCGAAGGGTCATGAATTTGACGAAAGAACATAGTATCAAATGAGTTCCAAATCTAGGAAAAGAATTGGTTAGCCAGAAGTACAACGGGCGCTGCTTCTACTGCGGCAGAATCCACAGCGATGCACTATGGCGGTCCTTCCTCGAGTACGGTAAGCTCCCGATGAGAGTGATCTTTGACTTGTTGGTAAGAATCGATGGCTTCTAACAAGAAGAAAGCAATATGGGGCATTGCTCTTTTAGAAAGCAGTCCAGATAGCTCTAGAAAGGATGGCTTGAAAGCCGGACTTGATGGTTTACTCTGAGCTTTAAAAAGGAGCGTGTTGGCGGCCTTGAAAATGCTGATACATAATACTCAAATCGTAGCGCTTTTGTTGTTATCGCAATCAGCTGGTACATGCTAAAAACTAACATACGACGTTCTGCACGATAGAATCTTCACCCAAACACTCACTCCGTCAGCGTTAACTCGCCCACTAGAAATGAATAGCTCACAAAAAGGCGTGGATTTCGCAGATTTCGCTGGTTTTCTTATTTTTTCTCGCTACCAATGAACAAATTCTGCACCAACGGTTTCACGGACCAGCCCAATAAAGGTAGGAGAAATCCATTCAAACTGCATCTTTAGACTAGTGGAGCTCTAACCATGCTTTCTAAGAGAAAAGATTTTAAGGATCCAAGGAAGGGGTTCGTGTGAAAATGATGAACGAGTTTTTTTGATTTTTCACCTATACGTGTCAAGGATTCAGAGTATTGACTTTATCCGAGCGACAATTCCAGCACAGAATTTACAGCCTAACTTACCACTCACACATGGGTAGGGTTTGTGGATAGAGAGACGAGAAAGATGTTGCGATTCGAGGAATTGTTGAGCAAGGTTATTCAGATTGAACTGATTTCTTCGAGCCGATATACATACATTAACTACTTCATCATTCTTTGAGATTTGCTGGAACTCGTGTGTGAGCGATTCATGGCTTTTACAGCAGGATAGGAACGAGGAATTACGTAAACTCCTTGCGAACATTATTCAAAGGCATAGCTCACTATACTTTTGAGGTACCCTTTTTAGGTTTAAAAGCGGAAGTTTTGATGTAGAGGAATACACCGGTGGCGAAGAAAGCTAGAAAATCTGCCTACTCCAAGCCCTTCGCAATTGGTGAAGTGGAGCTTGTACGAGATCACCGCGACAGGAATGCCATGTAAGGGTTTTTGGACGAGATTTGACTTGCTCTGATCGTGCAAAGAGCTGACTGCATCAAACCATAACTGCCCAGAATTGCCTTTAGCTGTCGCTATGGGCCATGACAAGTTGTTTAGACTTCCTAATTGGTTCCTTGTGAATAGTGCAGCCCCTACAAAGCCGTTGAAACTCGTCCACCGGGGGTGTGGCATTCAACTATACAATCTCAGGTTCCTTGTTGTGCCCTATCCAGAACGTATCCTTTTCCACAATTATAACGACAAGTATGGTATAAGAGGGAGACCCGAATTCATACTATAGGGAAATCCCAGAAATCATTTTTATCGTGAACTATGCTTTTAACACTGTGTATGTATTTAAAATCCTATAGTGCACTGCAACACAACTCAAACCGAGATCATCAATCCAACCAACATTGCGCCAGTAGTGCAATGATTATCTCAATTAAGATATAGCGAGAAGAAAGTGGAACCAAGAATGCCGAATAGTTGAGCACTCACCCCAAACTGTTGATTGATCATATAGTTGAGTTGTGGTTCCACTGGTACATAGCACAGTTTTCCATCGAGGTATAGCACCCGTAGGCCTACTATAGATCCAATGGGATCTATATAGGGAGAATGAAATGGGGCATTACTGTACTGAGTTGGTCCAAAGCTGCACAGACATCGATCTATAGGGGCAGCTTGCTGATGAACTGATCCGATTTCATTTCCTGGCCTTTTCGCTTCCTTAAGGGCTCGTTGGGGAGGCTGCGAGGGAGGTGATGAGGTAGAAGAATTTGTGAACACCGGATCAAAGAACGAGCCTTGCGTTGACGGATTGTACGCGTACGTTCGAACCATGAATTGACTTGTCAGGGATTAGTCGCAATTGAGTGCATAGGTAGAAGTTATTAATACCAATCAAAAGCTTTTTTTCAGTGATAACTCATTAGGAAAAGAAATAATGTTAGGATCAGTACAGATGAATGACAATTGTAGTTGCGATTGAGCTAACAAAGTTGACGTAGTTACCACGGCAACGAGGTGTTTGAGGGTGGAGCTGGTCACTAGAGCGACAGTCTTGTTTTCCTCATAATATCAGCCAGGGGTGTTGCACTTTACCTATATGCTCACCAAAAAACCCGCCGGCAACAGATGAGAGCTCCGCTTTCAGCATTACACCTTGATGCTCTGTTAGTGTATTTTGGAGCCAAGTCTAGTAGAGCTGTGGACCTCATCGCAGTGTAGTAGATGCATACCACCCGTAAATAATGTTCCTTTATAAATTTTCAATGAGAATGCAAAGGAGTGTGTGTACTCAGAATGTAAACCCATAGAAGAAATTCTGAACCGCACTCACTCTTTCCAGATACTGTTGTCATTTTTCGAAATAGTGGAACCCCCTAGGTCTTTCTTCAGTTTACAGTTGTAATAATTACATCGTTGGAAGCAAACGAGTGATTATATAATAGAATCTAGGAGGGGCAACGAATAAGCAAAACGGATAAGTGTACGGGTGCCGGTTCGAAACCGCTCAGGAAAAGGCTACAGCTTGTGGCCGGCGCTTTGGACATTGAAGGTTTTCTTCTCATATTACATCACTTAGGAGGGTTTGATGTGAGAATTGTCTAATTTTGAAAGCCCTGAAACATGTTCACGACAGTGATGAAATATTCATATACGTGTTCCACGACTAATTAGTGTTTACTAACATATCTTGTGCAAATAAATTAACCACCTCACCTGTATCCCCTGTCTTTCCATTGATCATAGACTTAGACGGGCGGCTGCCAGTAACGCCTTCATTCTTCCCTGTTGCGAGTCAAAGTGGTCCAGTGGATTGTTTTCGATCGAGGGACACGGAGCGAAACACTCCTTTCGTTCAGAGTTCCCGTGAAGAAGTCCTGGTGTTCGTTTGACATTCCGAGGAATCCAGTCCGTGAGCGCCCTAGTCCAATGGTCGTCACTATGTCGCATGACGTGCCCGGCGAAAGACTATGGTATGGTCCCTAGAAGGAGTTCGGAACAAAAGCGACATCAGTCAGGCAAAACTTCCATCATTTCATAATGGAATTGCCCACCAGGTGACTCCCATGTCCATAGCAAATCAGAGGGCTTCTGAATTGAGAAGAGGATTAAGAAAATACGGTAAGAAAAGTAAGTACAGAACTGAGTTTTTACGCATATATACTAATTATACTTTTACATGTACACATCATGAAGGTGTCATTGTGTTTACCATTGATCGTCTGGGTGTGTGTGCGTTGATGTGTGTATCAGTGGGTGTCTGTGTGCTTGGCAAGAATCCAGACATCCTGTTCCTATAGATCTACAGCGTTTAAACTTGGTAGAAGTACCGGCGGCAGGAAGTGAGCACTAATGGCAAGTGGCAGGAATGAATTACAGTAACGTGAGAGGGGTTAAGGAGAGAACCTAGAATCGACAACTCCATATAAAAGCTTTTGAGATAATTCAAAGCGACATGCTTCGCTCCCTTCAGACATAGATCATTCAATGGTGTTAGGAATTACGCTGTGGGATTATTGGTCAATACACCGAGTTGCTATATCGTTCTGTTGTCTAATTAACCGATTAATCACAGCTTCGTTCCCTTTAGTCGTACAATGTTCCAACTCCAAGTAAGTTAGGATGTGGTAGGAATATTGTTGTAAAGGTAGCGATCAGTACGGCAACCGATTTTGACCGTTACCGATTTGTACCACTCCATATAGGGCTGCTACTGACCAATCGTTAGGTCACGAAGGAAAGGGAAAGAGTAATGATAAGCGTCAGCAGGACATTCCAACCTTAACATAGCCTGACGTTGGACAGTCATCTATAGTCAGCCGTAGACGGGCCTAGCAGCAACTGACCATTCTCAAGGTGGGAAAGGGTTCATTGAGGGGAAGGGTTCCGACCCGAAGNAAGACCCTTAATCCAAACGTGTAGGAGGAGTATCACTTTTGGGGTATGGTTTCAAAACTATTAAGCCAACCATTGCAAATATAATAGAAACTTAAGACTGAGTTCGCACCATTAATCAGAAACGATGTGTAGTCCGAAAGCCGTTTTTTGGTAAAGGTATTGCTACAGTGAAGAAATGCAAGCATCTCTAAAAATATCTACATTTCTATGTCGTGTTTCTATGTTGTTACCTACTTGTTGGTCATCTATCTTCTGCTCAGGTAGCACCTCCTCGAAATAGAGTTGCATGAAGTTGGGTATCAGTCGAGTGTGAAGTTCTTGGCTCCAAATTTTATTTCTATGTTGGGGCTGTACAGCATGATGTTAGGGCATTTCAAGGTTACCATAATTGATTTTTATGCACTTCTTTATCGACGTGATTCAGGGCTGCCGATTCAGATCAAGTGAGTGGTGGAAGAATATTCGGATTGAAGAATCTTGTGCCGTGATTAAATAACTCGAGGGCTATAGAGGAGTGTAAACTCTCTGTGAGGAAGTCACCTTGGCAAAATGATCTGATTCTTGGGAAGCGAAAAACAAAGAACTCCTATGACCGCTGGTTCGACATTAATGTGGAGCCGACTCAGCCTTTTTCACTTGGTTACTGTCGTACGATCTGTCGATTCGTAGGAATGTGCTATGCTGACACTGGACTGTTCAGAGAGATGGGTCTTTCTGAACGAATAGAAAGTTTGCAATGGGAATATTAAAATTCAGCGCCCTCTCTACCGTGAATGCAATCATAGTGAATTGATGGTTCGTTTCAGAGTCGTCTAGTTATCATTAAGTCCAGAGACAAATGTGTTCTCCAAGGCAGTTCGTTCCATTAACCAGTACTGGAATCAAACAACAGGACAGATGTTCCGAAATGATAGCCTCTATTGTTAATTCGTCCGAGTGCCACGTACAGGCAAATATAGGAGTAATCTCTATTTTTGAAGGGGAAACTCCGCTAGACATTCCATAATGGGCACATTCAGTCACCTTTTAAATACTCTCGGAATTTTTCAAGATCGCCTACATTCCAACAACACCAACAATTGCGCGTATGGAACTGGTGGATTCACTGAAACCTAAACGTTGTAGGAAATTTCTGAGAAAAACATTCTAACGGTCACCTCAAAGTAAAATGTGCGAGATCAACTTTTATCCGTGCATTATTTCAGTATGCAACATGATAATTAGTTTACAGAGTGACTGCAATGTATCTATGTATTCCTGTATGCACAGAAGAAATCTAGAGATATCGTGATGAGAGGCGTGATAAGTGTTTGCCTGCGAGTGTCGACTGCAGCGAAGAGCAGTCTCGCACACTTCCATGCTCACTACCTACATTAAACGTCTATTTCTGAGCATATGGAAATGGTTCGTTCAACGTTTAAGCTTTTACATTTCGGTTCACCGCCATGAACCAAGTAGCTATTCAGTTTTTATTTGAAAGACTCCCGGTTGCTCCCGTTAATCTTTATTCTTTCCTTATTTGACGGTTTGAAAGAGGGAGCCAACTTCAGCCATTTTTTCGTCACTACTAATTACTCACTTGACCACCTTGTATCCACATGTTTGTTTCGCATAGACAATAGCAACGGTCAGAAAAAGATAGGACATTATGGAAAGTACATGACAAATATGAAAAATCCATGACAATTCGGAGGTACAGTTCCTACAGACGAATACGATTCATCGTCATGGAGCCATCGCCTTGTTCCAGCGATCCTTACCGTTTCGCCGCGTGGAAAGGTGGATTATAAGTGTCGTTCATAGCTATTGATCGGTCAATGTCAACACATCGTTGTGGCTGATTTTCTAGTTCTCGTGCACGGTGCTGGTGCGCCAAACAAGATATTTTCACTGCTGCGCGCCCTTCACAACCAACCGCGTACGGATGGATTGGTGACAGTGGCGACGACGACTCGGTCAACGCCGGGAATGCATGCGCCTGCTTTTCTCTCGGCTCATGTCAGCCTGCTTCCCAATATTTCCTGGTAAAATCGTGAGGATGATAGGCACTGTGGAGTATTCCCCATAACTGATTCCTGTCTCTCACTCGAATTGAGCTTTTTTCACATTTACCATGCGAGTTTCGGACGCTCATGTAGATGGCAAACAAGATACAAACCATACTTCTTCCACGCTCTTCCGAAACTAAACTGAAAACATGAAATTCTGGCAGTTTTTTCGAATGTTATTGAAAGTCTAAAAAAGGACGGGTCAACCTGGAGTAGGGATCCTTTTATACCTCTATTGATCAGGGTTGTTTACCTTCTTCATAGTAAGCAATTAAATTGCTGCCTACCTTTCGACTAATGAACGGGTTGCGTTCTCACTGGCTCTGGTGTTGCTGAGCCCGCTCAAAATAGAATTCGTAGAAGCAGCTTTTCTATGAATGAAAGCGTATTTTACCTAACTAATAAACGATGTCAAATCCAAGCCGTTCATTTCGCACTTGGTTTCTCTCTTCGCTTCTTAGCTGGGCTTCGGGTCAGATCAATTGCTCATTTTAAATGAATCACAACTTGGCGTTGTAAATATAAGATTTTATACGTGCAAGATTTTTCCTGGCTGGTAATCTCTTATACCTTCTCAATGCGACTACTAGGGTGCTGCTAACCAAGGGAGCACTTATGCAACTTAGAGAACGACGGGGGCAAGTTCAAGAAATGAAGAACTAACGAAGAGGGACCCATTATTTGAGCACATCATGTCTTCGACTTTCCTTAATCGCTCTTCTATTTTCACTACTTTACTATATATTAATTTTTAAGCCAGATCCGTTAAAATCTTCAATCAGAAAGAGTGATCCCCATCGAAGGACCAATTCTTTTCAAGGCGCCTATCACAGCGAAACGTCGTTCATCCTGACCTGACCTAACGCTGTCAATGCAGTATATTACGTG